TATCTGCATATGTGAGTTTGTGCATATATGGATATCTGCATATGTGAGTTTATGTATATATGGGTATCTGCATATGTGAGTTTATGTATATATGGGTATCTGCATATGTGAGTTTGTGCATATATGGGTATCTGCATATGTGAGTTCATGTATATATGGATATCTGCATATGTGAGTTTATGTATATACGGGTATCTGCATATGTGAGTTTGTGCATATATGGATATCTGCATATGTGAGTTTATGTATATATGGGTATCTGCATATGTGAGTTTATGTATATATGGGTATCTGCATATGTGAGTTTGTGCATATATGGATATCTGCATATGTGAGTTTGTGCATATATGGATATCTGCATATGTGAGTTTATGTATATATGGGTGTATGTATATGGGCCTCTACATATAGAGGTAGATGTGCACATGAGTACCTGTAGAAGTATATGTATATGCATGCGTAAGTATTTGTGTATATGTGTATGTGTTGATGCAGCGTCTGCCTTTGGGGAGTTGCCGGTTGTCGCCTCGGCTGCATGCGTATCTTCTTTGTCTTCTCGTCGACCACAAAGTGGCGTGTGAGCGCAGTGGACGAGCAGGAGCTTCCACAGTTTCAGCAGCACCAGGGCATGTTGGAGGTGTTAAGGTCGACAGCGCGATCCGATCTAAGGAAGCGGCAGCATTTGCAGTGAAGCAGGAGGAGCATCCTCTCTTGCAAGGTTCGCGCGCCAGTCTGCTGCTGTCTTGGGGTTGCTTCTTCTTTATTTTGCATTGGCATGCACTGCGTAGAATTTCTTCCAGCGGGGGCTGTTTTTGCAGTCCTTGCGCCGTGTGTGTGAGGAAGGCGCTTTTTCTTGCGGGGCTGACAAGGGCTCGCATGTGTGCATGCGTGGGATCTGCGGTTGTGTGTGTGTGTGTGTGCATGCATGCATGCATCTGTGCGTGCTGCTGCTGCTGCAGTCGACAGCAGCAGCATCGCCAGTGGGAGACGCAGTGGCAGCTGTCGCGGGGAGCTCGAAGAGGCGGCGGCTGGGCGAACTTTGAGTGACTGGTTGTATCACCACCAGGAAGCATTGCTGCAGCAGCAGAGTCCGTTGGTGCTGGATGTTTTCGCTGCAGCACCTGCTGCGTTTGTTGCGGCTGCGGGTCTGCTGCAGCAGTTGCAGCAGCTGCAGCAAACGCAGCAGCAGCAGCAGCCGAGGAAGCGGCAGCAGCAGCAGCTGTTGCTGAAGCTGCCTCCGAAACAGCCAGAAGACGAACTCGCGCAGGAGCAAGACTACCCAGAGGAGCACTCAGCTGCAGCAGCAGAGGCAGCAGAAGAGAGCAGAAAACAGCAAATCCGATCCTTCGCAGTAACTTGCATGCTCGAGGGGTTGCAACAACAAGGCGTGTCTGTCCATCCCCTGGAGTTTAGACCTCCAGAGCTGCCCGTCGATCTTATAGCCCTCCCTGCATTCAGTGCGCTTCGTCTGCCCAATCGGCTCCTCTTGCTGCTATTGCTACTCGTGTTGCTATTGCTGCTACTGCTGCTGCTCTTGATCCTATTGCTGCTACTGCTTCTATTGCTGCTACTGCTTCTATTGCTGCTACTGCTCCTATTGCTACTACTGCTCTTGCTACTACTGCTCTTGCTCTTGCTGCTATTGCTGCTACTGCTGCTCTTGATCCTATTGCTGCTACTGCTTCTATTGCTGCTACTGCTCCTATTGCTGCTACTGCTCCTATTGCTGCTACTGCTCTTGCTCTTGCTGCTATTGCTGCTACTGCTGCTCTTGCTCTTGCTGCTACTGCTGCCACTTGCAGGAGCCTGTGGCTCGCTGCAATGTCGACTTTGCCGCTACGGCTGATGCAGCCGCTTGTTCGCTTTGGGGTGTTGTCTCTGCAGCGACAGGGGGCGCATGGAGCAGGTATGTGTGGCGACTCTTGCAGCAGTTTGGTAGCACTCGGCGTGCAGCAGAGATTTCCCACGTGGACCGTTCGACTGTAGCAGCAGCCTCCATGGCAGGAACGGCTGCAGCAGCTGCAGCAAGCGCAGCAGCTGCTCAGCAGCAGCAGCAGCAGCACGCTGCGACTCCTGCGAGCTGGACACCTGGAGCTGCAGATTTGGAATCAACAAGAGCAGCAGCAGCTGCAGCAGCGGCTGCTGCTGCTGCGCATGCAGAAGCGATCAGAAGACACGGGGCCGGCAAGCTCTCAGCCTATGAGGCGGTAAGTCTGTCACTTAATGTTTTCTGCACTTTCTCTTCTGCAGCAGCTGCTGCCTGTCGCTTAATGTTTTTTCCTCTTTTTCTTCTGCAGCTGCTGCTGCCTGTCGCTTACTGTTTTCTGCACGTTATTTTCTGCAGCTGCTGCTGCCTGTCGCTTAATGTTTATTCCACTTTTTTTCTGCAGCTGCTGCTGCCTGTCGCTTAATGTTTTTTCCTCTTTCTCTTCTGCAGCTGCTGCTGCCTGTCGCTTAATGTTTTCTGCACGTTTTTTTCTGCAGCTGCTGCTGCCTGTCGCTTAATATTTTTGCACTTTTTTTCTGCAGCAGCTGCTGCCTGTCGCTTAATGTTTTCTGCACGTTTTCTTCTGCAGCTGCTGCTGCCTGTCGCTTAATGTTTTTTCCACTTTTTTTCTGCAGCAGCTGCTGCCTGTCGCTTACTGTTTTTTGCACTTTTTTTCTGCAGCCGCTGCTGCCTGTCGAAATGCGTGGGTGTGGGGTGCAGACAGCAGGGCCCTCGCGAGGGCGGCGCTTAGGTGCTGTTGCTGCGGAAGGAAGCGCGTTGGAGTCGGGGAGAGCTGCCGTTGCACCTGCGGCTGCACACGAAAATGAAGCCTTGCTGCAGCGGCGTAGCCAGCAGCAGCAGCAGCAGCAGTGGGATCTGCATGAATCAGCGCTCCTGCTGCACTTGGCAGGCCGCTTTGCAGGCAGCAGCAGCAGCAGCAGCAGCAGCAGCAGCAGCAGCAGCAGGGCGTGGATTTCTGCCGCGAAAGGCCTTCCAGGCAGCAACAACGTGAACTGGAGTCTTGTGGCGAGTGCTCTCTCGCGCGCAGGCTCCTTTGGAGGCATAGTCTCTCGCTTGCGGCTTCCGTTCGAATGCAGCAGACAGCATGCAGTGCTGCTGCAGCACCTCCAGCAGCTCCAGCAAACAGCCAAAGAGCTCAGACACCCCATGTTTCTCCTGCTGCTGCGACATAGGAGGGCCTTTACGGACAAAGACGTCCTCATGATGGTCAGTGGCGTCTCTGTAGAAGTGGTGCTGTGTCGTGCGTCTACACCGCTACGCCTGCCGTGCTCTCGCGGCGCATGTTTGTCTGCTATGTGCATGCTTGCAATTTCGGGGGTTTCTGCGTATATATATATATAAATTTTATGTATATAAATTGTATGTACATATTGTATATATATATTGTATATGTATGTACTTATAGGTATATGTAGGTAGATATACACACGTCTATATCTATCTACATAGAGGCATACATGCATGTATACACATGTATATGTATGTATATACAGGTGTAATATATATATATATATATACATATGTAAATGGATGTGTGGTGTCTACGTGTGTATAATCATGTACATACACATAGCTATGGATGTGTACATATTTGTACGTATATGTATCGTATGAATGCAGAGAAGAGAATCTTGTTCAACAGAGGTAGTTTTCCACCGTCTGAACGCGAAACGCTGCGCTTTCTGCTGCAGGCTGCACCGGCGCGTTGCTCCTTCGCAGGGCTTGCTGGGGAAGTCTCAGAGTCTTTGACTTTCGAGCTGCTGCTGCCGCCGAAGCCGCATGCCCTCATGCAGTGGTTGCTGCGCAATCAGCAGCATCGCCTCCCGAAAGAGCTGGGGAGTGCAGGTGCGCAGAAGCGCCATGAGACACCGTCGCACAGCAGCAGCGTGAGCAACCAGCGGCTGTCGTCGGAGGAGCTGTTGCTGCCCCTTGCTGCTGCTCTAGTGGTGGAGGAAAACGCCTCAGCAGTGCGAGCCTTCACGCTTCCACGGGATTTGCTGTCGGAGCTGCGCTTTTGGCAGCAAGAGCAGCAGCAGCAGCAGCAGCAGGAGCAGCAGCAGCACACGAAACAGCAGCAGCAGCAGCTGGGGGGTGCAGACCAGGATGTCGAAGAGCTGATGCCGCAGATTAGAGGCTTTTCGCTTGAGTGGCGAGGCGCTGCTGCAGTTCATGAGGAGCAGCAGAAGCAGCAGCAGGAGCAGCAGCAGCAGTTTTCTGCCAAACAGCGGCAGCAGCAGCAGCAGACGTCGCTGCTCGACTCCTCTCCGGCGGAGGCTTCAGCGGCACGGGCTGCACGGGGAGAGGAGAATGAAGAGACGCTGCAGGAAGCTCTTTCTGCCTTACAGCCTCTGAGCAGCATGAATTTGCGGCTGGGATCGAATCAGAAGAGACAGTGGCGTAGCAGCTACGGCCTGATGGATGGCTCGCTAGCAAAGAAGCGCAAGCCGTCGTTGTATTCGGCTATCCACGGTTCGTCTGTTTGGAGGATTCAAGGCGTAACGCTTTTCTTTTCCCCTCAGGACGGCGTCTAGTGGAGGCAGAGGTTTCAAAAGTGACTCGTGCAAGCCGCAGCTGCAGCATGTGTTTTGTGGCTGTCTGTGCGTAAATGCATGCGTTCTGCCTGCAGAGATGGCGGCAAGGAGCGTCGCGTGCTGGAGCGTCTCGGCGTGGAATTTTTTGCATGCGTCCACAGCTCCACCCTCCGCAGAACCTCCCGTGGATGCACAACAAGTGCGTGGTGTGAGAGTTTCCAGGGAGCAAGGGGTGGGGGAGGGGGCGCATGCGCTGGAGGGAGGCAGTCGAGGAAGGCGGCTTCGAGGTGTATGTGTGTATGTGTATGTGTGTGGCTGTAGACATGAGTTGCTGTTGAGGCTTTATATATACATATACATATATATATGTATATGTATGTATATACATGTGTATGTGTGTGTGGCTGCTGCTGCTGCAGTGCGCCAGCCTGCGTGCTGCAGCAGCAGTCATCTGCCGCTGCAGCAACAGCATGAGGAAGCGACTCGCAGTTCAGCAGCAACAGGAAGCTCTCCATATACGAAGTCTTCTCCCTCCTGGTATGCCTTGGATAGGGGATCTTACGGTGCTGCGCCTGGCCTTTAGAATAGAATCTGAATTCGTTCATTGCATCATCAACAATGTGTATGCTTGGAAGGTGGTTTACTTTCTTTAGTTCTCTCGTACGAAAAGACAAACCTTTTAATTCTTGTGCGACATGGAGATGGATTTCTGCCGTTGCGCGGACGAAGAGGGGGGGAGGGAGCCATAGAGGTTTGGGTCCAAGCGTGTGGCGTGCATATGTGTATGTGCAAGTGTGTATTGATGTATGTGTATGTGTATATGTATGCAAAAAAGTGTATATGTGTGTGTATATGTATGCAAGTGTATACGTATGTATGTGTATGCAAGTGTATACGTATGTATATGTATGCAAGTGTATACGTATGTATATGTATGCAAGTGTGTATGTATATGTATGCACGTGTATATGTATGCAAGTGTGTATGTATGTGTATGCAAGTGTATATGTATATGTATGCAAGTGTATATGTATGTATATGTATGCAAGTGTATATGTATATGTATGCAAGTGTATATGTATGTGTATGCAAGTGTGTATGTATATGCATGCAAGTGTGCATTGATGTATGTGTATGTTTGTTTGGCGTGCGTAGGATCGGATCCCAAGTTGATAGTGCCTCCGCATCCATCTCACCAAAGTCTTGCGCAGCAAGCGCGTCATCACTTTGTACGGCGTACAGAATGCTAAGACTTAGCCTCGCTTGTTTCTTGCCTGCGACGCCTCGTGGTAGCTCCTTTTGCGGCTCCACGAACGGGCGAATTCCTGAGAAGTAAGGCCTATTGTTTGCTGCGCTTTTGCAGGCACTGTTTGAGCGTGGTGAGAAGGCAGTAGACGCTGCAACAGCAGATTCGCAAGCAGCTGCAGCAACGACGTCGAGTGCAGCAGGTGTCGCCGCAGGAACGTCTGCTGCTGCTGGAGCCGCTGCTGCTGCTGGAGGAGGTTCAGCAGCAGCAGCAGGTGCTGCAGGCGGCATTCAAGCTGCTGCATCGCCTTCAACAGCTGCAAGCGCGCTCACTAGTTCTGGAGCAGCAGCAGCAGGGGGGGCAGGGGGGATGCCTGTTGCCTCCACGCTGCTGCCATGGCTGCAACTTGCGGTGCACGCGTTGCAGCGGGGGAGGCAGCAGCAGCTGCTGCTGGGTGTGCAGCAGTTCGGAGTTAATGGCGTCATGCCTTCCCAGCCGAGGAAGCCTCCTTTGCCAGTACGTCTGAAGTGCAGTCGCGTTGGAGGACGGGGAGGGGGTGTAGATCTCCCTGGAGACTTGTGTTGAGTTGAGCGGTATGAGGGATTGAAGCGCGACAGAGCTTCGGCTCCTGATTTCTGTGCGCAGGAGCAGTTTGTTCTGGCGATGCAAGGGCAGGGAAACTCGAGCTTAAGGCAAGAGGCGAAGCCTCCAGTTGCTGCAGCAGGAGCAGGAGCAGCAGCAGCAGCAGGAGCAGGAGCAGCACCTGCAGCAGTAGGAGCGGCATCTGCAGCAGCAGCGGGAGCAGCAGTGGGTGCGTCTGCAGCAGCAGGAGCAGTAGCGGGAGCAGCAGCAGGTGCATCTGCAGCAGCAGGAGCAGTAGGTGTATCTGCAGCAGCAGCAGCGCTCGGTGCAGGGCTGCCGCAAGAGGCGTCGCCTGCCATAGCCATCAGGGAGCAGCAGCAGCAGCCGCCGATGCTGCAGCAGCAGCAGCCGATGCTGCAGCAGCAGCAACAGGCAATGCTGCAGCAGCAGCAGCAGCGCCTGCCCACCGGTAGGCTATTAAGCCTCCGCGTTTTTGGCTGCTAGGCACCTCTCTGGCGTTTGTGTCTGCATCTGTTATGACTCTCTTTCTCTCTCTTTGTGGATGTGGCTGTACGGAGGGGGAGGAAGTTGAGAAGTGAGGTTTTTTTCTGAAACGACGGAGTTTTAGAGCTTCGAAGGGGTTGGGTGTTTTTGCGGGGGTGTGCATGCAGACTTCACTTCGGGGAGTGGGGTCGATGGAGGAGACTCTGCAGCCGTATCGACAGGCCCCTCGCTATTGCAGCAGCAGCAGCAGCAGCAGCTTGCGCCAGAGCAGATGCAGCAGCAGCAGCAGCAGCAGGCTTCACGCGTCCTCCAGCCGGTGCATCAGCAGCAGCAGCACCTGGTTGCTGCAAGTTCGCTGCAGCAGCAGCAGACTTCCCACCTGCTGGCGTCTGCCACCACGCATCCGCAGCATCCGCAGTCGTTGCTGCAGCAGCAGCAGCACCTGCGGCAGCAGCAGCAGTGGCTTGCTGCTGCGCAGCAGCCGCAGCAGCCCGTTCCAGTGATGATGCAGCCGCACCAGCACTTGATGCTGCAGCAGCAGCAGCAGCCGCAGCCTCTTAGTTATGGAGGCAAGCCGTTCGGTGCCCAGCAGCAGCCGCTGGAAGGAGGCTACGACTTGCAGCAGCTGCAGCAGCAGCAGCTGCAGCAGCATCAGCTGCAGCAGCATCATCAGCTGCAACAGCATCAGCTGCAACAGCATCAGCTGCAACAGCATCAGCTGCAGCAGCAGCAGCTGCAACAGCATCAGCTGCAGCAGCAGCAGCTGCAGCAGCAAATGTTCGCGCGGCCGCAGTTCCTGGCGCAGCAGCAGCAGCCCCCGCAGCAGAGCGACGATGTTGCTGCTGCTGCGGATGGATCGCAGCAGCAGCAGTTGCAGCAGCAGTTGCAGCAGCAGCAGCAGCAGCTGCAGCAGCAGCTGCAACAGCAGCAGCAGTTCGGCCAGCGTCCACTGTATCTGCAGGCTTCACAGCAGCAGCAGCAGATGCCCCCTTACGCTGCAGCGGCGGTGCAGCTGCCACCAGCGGCAGACGGCAGCAGTCTGCAGCAGCAGCATCAGACACTGGGGACGACTCCGTTGCAAGCCTTTCCCACGCAGCAGCTGCAGCAGCAGCAGCAGCAGCATGCCTACCTGCAGCAGCAAGCGGCGTTTCAGACAGCACAAGGCCATCAACGGCATTTTTCTCCGCCGACGCAGCATTTGCAGCACCTGCAGCAGCACCAGCAACAACTGCAGCAGCAGCAGCAGCATCACCATCAACAACTGCAGCAGCACCAGCACCAGCAACAACTGCAGCAGCAGCAGCTGCTCTGTCAGGATCAAAACCCATACTCCACGCAGCAGCAGCAGCAGCAACAGCGCTTTGTCGCCTCTCAGCTCCCACAGCAGCGATTTGCCCCCACAGGCGTCCCTCAGCAGCAGCAGCAGCAGCAGCAGCAGCGCCTGCCGCTGCAGCAGCAGCCAGGCCAGACAGCTATGCAGCAGACTGCATTCGCACCGCCTCAACAGCAGCAGCAGCAAGGCTACTACGCGGTTGCAATGTCGCAACAGCCGCAGCAACTCAACGGATCCCCTTCGGAGCTGCAGCAATTGCAGCAGCAGCAGCTGCAACAGCACCAGCACCTCCAGCAGCACCAGCTGCATCAGCAGCAGCTGCAGCAGCAGCATCTTCACCAGCACCTGCAGCACCAGCAACTGCAGCAGCAACAGTTCCGGCAGCAGCAGCTGCAGCAGCAGCAGCATCAACTGCAACAACAGCAGCTGCAACAGCACCAGCTGCAGCAGCAGCAACAACAACTGCAGCAGCAGCAACAGCAGCAGCAAGTGCCTCCTGCGGGGCAGCGGCAGCTCTCTAGCGGCAGCAAGAGCAGCAAAAGCAGCTCGCGGTCTAAGAGGCCCCTGCAGCAGCAGCAGAAATCTGCTGCTGCTGCAGAGGAGCACCCTGCTGTCGCTGCTGCTGCAATCGGGGGAGCTCCCCCCTTGCATACACCCCAAGGCTCCGTCGGTGGTATCCCCGCTGCGGCTGTGCAGCAGCAGCAGCACCTTCAGCATCAGCAGCGGCATTTACAGCAGCAGCATTTACAGCAGCAGCAGCAGCATCTCCAGCAGCAGCCACAGCTACACCAGCTGCAGCAACAGCCGGACTATGCGGCGCATGCGTTTCCTCAGCCCTTTCCAGTAGGCTATCTAGAACCTCAGCAGCAGCAGCAGCAGCAGCAGCAGCAGCAGCGGTCGGGGGTAGCTCGACCTGGCGGCGCTTAAGAACTGCTAGCCACAAACTTCTGGAGTGGTAAACGAGGGCGCCAGAGCGTCGGCGCGTGACGCACTAGTGGCTAGCTAGGCACCTAGCTAGCTAGCTGGTGGGCTTGCAATCTTGGAGACGATTGAGTCGAGTATGCATGCACTAGGGCTGGCCAGCCAGCTTAGTAGCCAGGTTTTCGATTCGCGCACGAGGACTGCCGCCCAACCAGCTAGCTAGCTAGCCAGCCAGCAGGCAGCGACACGGCGAGGCCTGCATGACCTCTCTTATTCTTGCTGCTGCTTTATTGAGGCTTGCAGAGCGCGCGCGAATTTTAGTGGCGGCGAAGCGAGCAGCGCATGCAGCGCTAGACTGCCCAGGCGGCAGACCGCCTTGCTGCTGCTGCTGATGCGATGTGTTTTCGCGGGTTCGAGGGTAGTTGATACTTTTCCTTGGCGCTTTCTGTTTCCGCCTATCCAAATCTTACACCCCAGACCACCATGGTAAACCTTCAACCAACCCTAGACTTCCATGCAAGCCTTCTACCCCAGCTCTCTGTGCAAACCGCCAACCCAAGCCTTCCCTGCACGGACACCTCAACCCCTGGCTTGTCGTGCATTTAATCCTGAATTGTACCAGTGCATGCAACCTCTGGCCCGAACTTTGATGCAAAACAAAACTCCAAACTCTAGGGCTTTAATAAACATTTTCTGAAGCCTTTCTTTTGATGCAAACCCTATTTCCAAGGCTTTCACCGGAAATCTCTCCCTGCAGAGAACACCAAATCCTGCGTGCTTGTCCACCCTCCACCCCTAAAGTCTCTCTCTCTGTCTCTCTCTCTCTGTCTCTCTCTCTCTCTCTGTCTCTTTCTCTGTCTGTCTGCTAGCTCTGCTCCCTAGAGCGTAGCCTTCGAAGCAAAGTCTGAGGCTTTGGCGAAGGCCTTCGCGCGGAGGCTCTAAGGCGCACATCCTGAACCTTAAAAATAAGGCACTATAAATGTCGTGTGGCATGCTGTGTACTACATGCTGGAGACGGAATTTCTCTACACACGTACTATGAAGCTGGCTGGCCGCTGGCTGACGGTGCTGTGGGACCAAAGCGTCTTTTATCGGAAATGGGGATGCAGACATATGTACAAACGGAGGGGATTGATGAGTCAGCACCCGCAGCAGCGCTTCTCAAGGAGGAGTTGCTGTTGTCACGGGCTGTATCATTCGTCATCGTAAGCCTCCAAAGGGGTCGAGACCGTGGAAAGGGTGTGTTGTGGTGCATAGGCACCTTCTCTCCTGAAGGGGCTGAGGTTGGTATCCAGCTCGCTGGACGTCCCCCCTAGCAGGCTGCTGGAGGATGCAGTTCCTCGCAGAAGCTCTCGAGTCTGGCCGCTACTGCTGCTGATGCTGCTGGCACCGGTGCTGCTCTTTGTCAGAGCATCCCTGCAGTGTTTTGAGGCGCGCTGCTCTCGCCTCGCTGCTGACGCCTCTGCAGCTAGCTGCTCCCGCAGTTGGCGCAGTCGCTGTTGCTGCTGCTGGAGGGAACTGACACGGGCGCGGCGGCGTCTGCTGTCTTGCGCTGCTGCTGCTGTTGTTGCTGTTGTTGCTGCTGCTGCTGTTGTTGACGTCGCCGCTGTGGATCCTTGCGGAGCTGGCTGCTGCGGTTGCTGAAAGTGACGCTGCTTCGGCACGTCGAGTTTGCAGTGTTGTCGGAGGAGCTGCTGCTGCGCTTGCCCGCAAGAAAAGACATTAGGGGGGTGAGGCTCTCGCTCCGCAAGAGGGGAAGCGTTGGTAGGTGCAAGGGGGGCAGCGTTGGTAGGTGCAGCGGCGGGAGAGTCTCCAATGCGATGCGTTCGGTGTTGCCGCTGTTCCTGGATCACCAGCCGCTGCTGCTGCTGCCGCTTCAGTCTATTTGCCGGACTGATTTCTTGCGGATACGAGACGCCCCCTGCATTCGGTAGCAATCTTGCTGCTGCTGCATAGGTTGGGGAAGGCGCAGGCGCTGGTACATACAGCCGAGGCCGTACGTGGTGGTGCCCGAGGCCTGTGGGGAAGGCGCTGCTGCTGCTGCTGCTGCTGCTGCTGCTTCTTGTGTTGCTGCGTTCCTGCCGAGACTGCAACACTTGCTGCTGCACGGACAGAGGCGCTGGCGGAGGCGGTCTGTAGCAAGTGCCTTCTCTACAGCAAGGGGAAGGCTCCGTGGAAGGCAAAAGCGGACGTCCAGCGGGATGCATGTGCGGCAAAACAGCAGCCTCCACGCAGCAACTTTGCCGGCGTGCTGCAGCACCTCAAGCAACAACAGGAGCCGCACAGAGAAGCATGGGTGGGAGCAGTGCAGGGTGAGGCCTATACTACTGCACAAGGGAAAACGTTTCCGCAGTACCGCAGCGGAATGTATGGAGAAACACGAAAAACACGCTCACGCTAGCCACCAGAAAACACTTGCAACTCCTGTAGCAACCGCCTCACCGGAATGCCTTCTCAAGCGTAGCCTGTCCTTAACCCTCTCCATAAGACCTCTGTGAGGACGAATTACTGCGACAGGCGCAACAGCGACACCATGAGCTCCGTTCATGTAGGTTATATATATAAATATATATTTATATATATAAAGGGCTGCCCTTGGGTGTCAGCGACAGTGCCGGCAGCAACACAAAGCGCGGGGAAGGAGGGGGGAGGAACGATGGGCCGTCCAGAAGCTACTTCAGCTCCTGCAGCCACGCACAGTGCCGTGACGCTTTCTTTAAAGCCCTACCGATTGTTTGACTCGATACTGGGGAGAAGCAACAGCTTTCAGCAGTGCCTGGTGCTGCAGCATCTGCTGCTGCTGCGGCGTCTGCCGCTGCCTCAGGACTGCGGCGAGGCACGTCTGGCAACTCGCTGGGATCGAGAAGAACTCTGGATGCCTCCTTTTCGAAATGCACGAAGCGCCTCCGGCATGCGGGAGGTTCTGCGGAGCCTGAGGAAGCACAAGGAGGGGGCGAGTTGCAAAGAGCGGGTCGGTTCAGCGCCGTGGGGGATGGGGGGCAGCAGCAAGAGGCGGGAGGGGGGGAATTCGCAGGAAGATCCGCTACTACTGCCGCTGTTGCTGAAGATGCGGCCAGCCTGTAAGGCATGCGGGAGCACAGAAAACAGGGGCGAGGACTATAGCTTATTGGCTCCTGCTGCGGTTGCTGCTGGAGCCAGGCAAGCGACGCGTGCTGGGGATTTCTGCAAGAAAAACCGAGAGTGCGAGCCTGTTGGCTGCTTCTTTCCAGTGGCCAGCTGCCCTCCTGCTGCTGCTCTTCCTGGTGTTGTTGCTGCTGGTCTTGTTGTTGTTGCTGCTGCTGGCTGCGGCTGGCTCCTAGACGCGGATGTGGCAAAGGGTCTTTGATGGGGAGCGGAGGAACCTGTGAACAGCGCAAGGTCGAGATGGCGTCCAACGGTTCCGCACAGTCTTGCCTCTGCTGCTGCTCCCCCTGTTGCTGCTCCCCCTGTTGCTGCTCCCCCTGCTGCTGCTCCCCCTGCTGGTGTGGCAGCCTTTGCCAGGAGTAGGCTGGACTTGAAGGCCGTGGGTGAGTTTGTTGAGGGTGGGTTGGGCGATGCTGCTGGCAAGGTTGCGCCGATCGTCGACAGTTGCAGTAAAAGCCTCTAAGGTGTCTCGCTGCTGCGGTCTGTAACTGCTTCAGTTCGGAGGACATGTGCTGCAGAGACACAACAAGGTTCTGCAGCAGGTGCCTCTCTTGGGATTCCCTCCAGCCCGTCCTTGCCTCCATCCCTGCTGAAGCCTCTGCTGCTGCTGCAGCACAGCAATCCGCTGCTGCTGAACCCTCCTCCGTTGCTGCTGCAGTGCAACAATCTGCTGCTGCTGAGCCCTTTGCTGCTGCAGTGTCTACGCATAAGGACGGTGGAGGCCTTGGCGGACAGTCACAATTTCGCGGCGTCCAACTCTTGCAAAAGAAGCGCTGGTGGGGGAGCCTTCGCTGCTGCCCTGCTGCTGCAGAGCAAGCACTCGAGTGCAGACACGGCTGGTGCAAGCGTGTCGCAGGTGTGGTCACACCCTTCGCATGATTGAAGTGGTCAAACGCCGCACAGGCTGTCGAGTCGCCTTCCCTTTCAACAATCATCTGCCAGCTCTCTCGCAGAGCTCCTGGAAACGCTCGAGCGGCTCTGACTTCGTGCAGTGGCGGCCGAACACCCTCCAAGTGACCTTCTCGCCTGGGAAGTCGGGGGAGGTTTCTGACTTCCTCCGCAGGAGGGGGGAAGCGAACCACGTGAATGCAAGATCCCGCTGCATTTTCTCGCTCCAGAGTTGCCGCGGGAGGCTCAAGGGGCAGATGCTGTCGGCAGCGCAGCATCCCGTGGATGCCTTGAAGAGGGCAGTGCGTGCGTAGCTTCGTCGAAAAGGCATACACCTCGGAGCACAGAGGACTCCGGTGCCTCGACGATTTGATAAGCTGTCCAAATCTTGCAGCAGCGTCCTACTGCATGCCGTGGCGGCAAAGGTTTTCTGCCTGGGGAGCGCGTCGATCGGGATCGATCGATCCCAGAGCGGGGGTCTCTACAGGCTCTGTTGTGAGCACAGGTTCTTTGGCGCCTGAAATCAAGCACGAGCCCTCACGAAACAAAGTGCATCTCAAACATCTCTTTCCGCGCAAAAGGCTGGAGCATCATAGCGGCCAGCCAGCCTGGCGAGAGAGAGGGAGAGCGAGGGGGCCTTCCCTCCTGCGCCCCTTCTAGAGTGGGAGAAGTGCCTCCTAGGAGAGTATGTGTCGCGAAATATTCCACGAAGAAAATATCCGAAACTCCACGCAAAAAGGCCTTTAAGAGAAAGGCGGATTAGACTGCAATTCTGAGCCGCTTCCACGGGCGCTGAAGGAACTTCGGCGAGGTCACCACCTACTCCCACCCACAACACGACAGTTGGCAGAGGGGGGCTTGAGATGCTCGAGACTTTTGCGGCGTGGGAATTTCGGAAATCTTCGATCGCCTTTTTGACAATTTACATCTATATCTATGTATGTGTTTAGGACAGAGTCATTTACTGAGAGTGCGGTCAGATTCTGCGGAGCTTCAAGCGACCTGCGCTCCAACCCCATTGCGGTGGTTCGCTCTCTTGTCGGCGGATTTGCGTGGTTCTCCCCTCGATGAAGTGTGGTGCTTGCCTGATTGTTTTAGAGCAAAAGCCACTGCCAGCAACCCCTCGAACTACGTGTGCAGATACAGAGTTCTCCAACAGCGAGAACAGCAAGTACACCCACAGGGCGCTTCGACGCCAGCCAGTCTGGCAGTCTGTCAGTTCCAGTCCATCTTACAGACCATGGAAGGCGTAGTAATACGTTTACGCTTAAAGAGGCAGTAGGGTGTCCACGGTGCTGAAAACCTTTGATGGCATTACCGTTTGCTGCTAATGGGTAGTATTTAGTTTTCACGTATCGCGTCGCCCCCATGCGTTCGCAGCCTAACGCTTCCACTTGAAAAAATACCTTGCACACGAGGAGCCTCGTATGTAAAGTTTGAGCTCTCCAAAAACCCGACTAGAAGCCTTGCGCTTCAAGCAGAAGAAAATACAAGATGCATCATACACAGGTACATTAATAAAAAGGCCAAATCGCAGACTCAAGGCTTGAAAAGCCTGGACCTGGATCTTTCGCAGCGTCTCCGCCGCTCCAGGGAGTGCGTTTTCGAATTGTTGAGTTCAGCCAACCGACCAGCGGTGGAAAACTCCTTTCTAGCACTGGCATTTTCCGCCGCAGCAGATCGTGTCCTCCTTCCCTCCCTCATCCCTTCGTCCCTGCTCCACGGATAAAAGGCGAGCACGCCTAAGACTCGGCATTCCCCGCGCTCTTCCAGTTGAGCGCCACCAAAAGTGTCGTGATGTTATCTTCTGAGCCTCGACGAAGGGCCTCACACGTCAATTCTTTGGCCATCCACTCCAGTTGAGCCTTCTCCAGAAACCTGAGAATGCAAGCCGCCTCCGGCAGATTTTTGAGAAAGCCTCTTGCCTCGCTCGCACGCGGGTAAGCAACAATATGCTCTCAAGGCAACCCCAAGCCGCAAAGACAATCAAATCGCTTACCCCGTGCACTGCCGTGCGAGCTGCTGATGCTCATCACGATCAACCTCCGACGCCTCTGCCTTGCCCTCTGCGTCTGAGCTCCAGCCGTCCCTCCTAGGCTGCTTCTTCCCAACGCGGCTAACACCATCGCTGCTGCTGCTGCTGCTGCTGCTGCTGCTGCTGTTTATGTGCTGCTGCAAAAAGTCAGCGACATCTTGGTTACTCATAACATCCCACAGGCCGTCGGTCGCAAGAACAAGCAAACGATCCGAATACGCCATCAAGTGCCTGACACACACAGATATAGATATGCATATGCATACGCATGTATATGTACATATATATATATGTATATATATGTGTAAATATCAAGATACATACATATACATACATATACAAATATTCATAGACACATGCACATACACATACAAATATACATAGACACATGCACGTACACATACACACATATACAAATATACATAGACACATGCACGTACACATACATACATATACACATATACATAGACACATGCACATACACATACAAATACACTCAGACACATGCACATACACGTACAAATATACATAGACACATGCATGTAAATACATCCATATATATATACAAAGACATACAAAGGACGTCCCCTTTCCACAGCGACCTCTTATCTCCCCATCTGCAGCAGATTCAATTAAGATGACGTCCTTAGAGTTAGCTTGGAGGGTTTGTATGCAATCACGCAAATACGCAAGTACGCACCTGTACGTCACTTCTGCTTCTGCAGGAACGAGTTGCTGGGAAGCTCTCTTCAGCGAAAAGTCGCCAAGGCATCTCGACATAGCCAAGAATAGTCCAGTCGTGCCAATGCTGACTCTGCGCGCGAAATCAAAAAACGTAAGAAGAGGGCGGTAGTTTCGAAAGCAGCCTTTTGAAAAATGGCCTTCGAAGAAAGCCACCCTCCATGCAGCTTGGCTTTCCAGAAAAGTGCAGCTCTGCGCGCAGAAAGAAGGCTGTTAACGACTCGGCAAGAGAGAAGGCATCAGCGTGGCTTCTCTCTTGCACCATAGCCGCGGAAAATTCGAGGCTAGACGCTGCGTCAGGAAGTGATGACTTGCCTGTGACAACCCAGCAGCATGACGAACCCCCCACAGCGCTGAATTCGTGCCAACTCAGAGGGTCGATTCGGCTTATGATCTTCAGTCAGCTTCACGTACACCGCGTTGTCGCAGCTGCTGTTCCCTTTGCTGTTGCTGCGGGGAAGTTTCACGAGAAGTGCACGGCTGTCTCCGACATGCGCAGCAAACAGCTCGGCAGTGCCGTAGGCTGAGGCTGCTGCTGCTGCTGCTTCAGATGCCACATCGACAGCCGTATCTACAGCCGCAGAGGGGCCATGAGACTGCTGCTGCTGAGACTGCTGCTGCTGAGACTGCTGCTGGTGCTTTTGGCAGCTCTTGAGCTGCCTTCGGTACTCGCTATACGTCAAGTTTTTGTCTGTGCTGCTGCCGTTGCTGCTAGAGGCCTCTGTCGTAGTCTGCCGTTCTGACTGCAGCTTGCGCTTAGTTTTACGCGGCGATTGCCACCGAACCAATACCAGCAGCGCTGTGCTTCCGTCTTGCGAATCAGGATACTGCTGCATGTAATCACTGTCCATCTGCAGAAATGCGTCTGCCAAAGCCTTCTCTACTTTGCTGGCAGCTGCAGAGGTCGGAGGGTGCGCTGCCGTGGATGCCTCGTCTTCCCCAGAGCACTCACTGCTGCTGCTACTGCTGCTGCTGCTCGACTGCCGCTTTCGACGCGCACGCCGAGCACGCTTGCCGCTGCTGTTGCTGGTGTTGCTGCTAGTGTTGTGCACTGCGAGCTGGCGCGCTAAGACGTTGGGAAAATGCGTTTTGCAAAACTCAGACAACGTGTTTCCGTTGTGACCGTCAAATACTGCAGGAGCAGGAGCAGCACATTGGCAGCAGCAGCAGCACATTAGCAGCAGCAGCGACACTAAAATACTCATGAAGAGCAACAACAGACATATGTGAGATAGCTGCCTCAAAAGCAGCAGCAGCACATTTGCAGCAGCACATTTGCAGCAGCACATTCGCAGCAGCAGCACATTCGCAGCAGCAACGACACTAAAATGGTCATGAAAAGCAACAACAGACATATGTGGGATGGCTGCCTCAGAAGCAGCAGTAGCAGCATGCTAGCAAAATCACTACCAGCAGCAGCACTACTAGCACCGAAAACATTGCATCCTTTCCATCCTCCTTCTCGTCTTCTTCTAACCCTCCCCACGCCAAAAACAGCAGCATCGTACCTCCGAAAAGCGCCTCGTTCGGCGAGAAGTCAATGACAGAAACCGAAGAATCCTCCATTTGCTGCCGCTTGCCAATGCTGCTGAAAGATCCACAGCTCAGCACGAAGGGGCAGCAGCTTCTCGCTGCTGTCTGCGCTGCTGCACGTCGGCGAGAAGTGGGGGGTGGCGCAGTGAGTCGTGAAGGCGCTGCATCATCTACAAAGCCTCGAGAAAAGCCCCTGCATGCAGCGGAAACACATACGCATGCACAAGCAAGCAGCAGAGGCGCTGTATCTCCTGTTGCTGCACACACAGCACTGCCACGCTTTGACTAGAGATCTCAGCTCCGTTTCGAGGCAGCGCATCCTGCAAAATCAAAACAACTTTCCTGAATTAAAAACATTTTTTGCAACTGCCAAAAATAAAATCCTCCTCAACTCTGAAATAATACACTCTCCTCAACTCTAAACTATGATACACTCTCCTCAACTCTAAACAATAATATACTCTCCTGAACTCTAAGCAGTAATACACTCTCCTGAACTGCCAAGAATAAAATCTTCATCAACTCTAAACAGCAACACACTCTCCTCAACTTATTTATAATATACTCTCCTGAACTCTAAGCAGTAATACACTCTCCTGAACTGCCAAGAATAAAATCTTCCTCAACTCTAAACGATGATACACTCTCCCCAACTCTAAACAGTCGCACACTCTCTTGAACTCCCTGAACTTGACTCTTTTTGAGTCGCGTGCCTCTTTGACCGCTTACTGCGGGGAGAGAGATCCTGCGGAGAGCGCATGCAGCGCTGCCGTCAGCCTCTCCTGCTTCCGTCGTACTGCTTCGGCAGTTTCTTCTTGTCTGAAGCGAGCAGCTGTCATATCTCCCATCTTGAGGAGGCCTACTGCGGCACCGCTGTTGCTGGATGCTTCGCAGGGAGTAACAATTCTTTTTGAAGGGCTCACGGGCAGCAGCACACTCGCGTCGCTGCTATTACCACTGCTACCCCCACTGTTGCTGTTTCTGTTGGGGTGAGCATGCGACTTGTGCTTGCCGTCGTTGCTGTAAGAGCGGCGATGACATCCTTCCCTTTGCCGCCTCCGCTGTTGCTTGGAGTGCTCTTGGTCATCGAGGTGCTGCTGATGATTGTAATCATGCTGCTGATGATTATAATTATGCTGCTGATGATTATAATCATGCTGCTGATTTTGATTATGCTGATTATGCTGCTGATCATGCTGATTCGGATGGTTCTGATGATGGTTCTCCTCTCGCTGGGGGTGGTCGGGGTGCTCCTCCTCCTGCTCCTCCTCATCGAGAGAGAAGCTCAGAAGGCCCCTTCGAGCTACACGCGCAGCCATGACTGCCCCTGTCTTCGCTTGCCAGCACTCAGGTGTCTGCCTGCTGTAGCTGGTCGTAGTCGTATCGCTGCTCCTGCTAGCCGTCGTCAGGAGGTAGGCGGAGTATCCTGTATGGCTCGGAGAAGGGGGGGCAAGGTGTCGCCCTTGAAGAGCAACACTTGTTGAGAGTGCAGCTAATGCTCCACGGATCAGCTCTGCTGCTGCTGCTGCTGCTCGACGGCGATTCAGCAACAGGTGAGAGGGCCCTTGCAGCATTCAGCCTGCTATTCCACGTCTTGCTCTCGCACGAGGTTCCTTCAGTTTCATCGAACAACGCATTTAGGCCGAAGAGCAGCACCGCTGCTGCTGCTGCCAATGCCACAGGGGGGTCTGTCCGAGTTTCTGCGGAGAGCAGCAGCAGCAGCAGCAGCAGCAGCAGCAGCAGCTGAGTGCTGGCTGCTGAACTGCTGCACGGTTTCTTCGCGTTTCGCGTGTACAATCGCTAAGAATTGCAGCCTATAACTGAAACTCAACAAGATAACACAAGAAAAACTTATTTGGAGGGGCAATGGGCTCGCTAGAAATAAGCCATTGCCGCCGATCAACAGCTTTCCTGCTACACCTTGCTGAGAGTACACGACTGCAGCCTAACGACAGCCTGCAGACGCTGGCGAGGCTGCGCGCGCCACCCGACTTCGTATTACAGACAAACCCTTTTCATTCGAGAAATACTCAAAATGTGGCATTTGTGCTCACTTTTTAGGCGTGTGTGCAGCTTTTCTAAGGAAAAATATCCCGGACCCTGTCTGCCCTGCATGCAGCAGCAGCAGCAGCAGCAGTAGCCGCAGCAGTAGCTGCTGCAGCAAAGGGATCCTATGGTTACTCTATAGGGTGTTTTAAGGGACTAATCTTGCACAATGTGCCTGCATATTGCCTGAAAACGCAGCAGTCGCTGCCCGTGCTGCGGCTGCTGCGCTTCCGCTCCTATTTCTTTAGTAAAGTCATGCAATCGAGCCGCAGCAAGGGCAGCTTTTTTTCAGGCGTTGCCGATACTCCTTCAGCTGGCCATCTGAGGCTGCAAATGCTGCCAGCTCAGCGCAGCCGCAGCAGCCCAGTGCGCAGCAGAAGCGTAGCCTGCTGGGTGGCATACAGCTGCAGCAGCAACCTCTACAGCTACCCCAACAAACAGCAACAATCGTAGATCCAGCAGATGGCGTCTCGGAGAATTCCTGTGGCTTTCCAGGTGCTGCTCCCTTCGCCGACGACCAGCTGCTGCTGCTAAGGAGACGCCTCCCATACACAAATAATAATACACACACACACCGTACTGGGTGCCCGCTGCATGATACTCCTCCTGCTGCTGCGCATTTCTCTGCTTCTGCATTTGAAACTTTGCAGAATCAGGTGCTCCCGCAAAGCGAGCAGCTCCCTCTGTGTGTGCAGTCACGTGTGGCTTGTGCCAATGCTTGCGAATGCTTTTCCAGCAAGGCCTAAAGGGTACCTCCAATCCTGCTGCAGCGCCGTTGAAACTTGCGATACAGCAGCGTCCACTGCGCAAGTCTCAGCAGCAGCAACTGCAGCAACTGCAGCAGCAACTGCAGCAACAGCAGCAGCATTGGACGTCGCAGTGGCACCCAAGACGGCTGGAGAGCCTCGCGTCTCAGGGAGCCGGCAGCAGCAGCCTTAGCAGCAGCAGCCTTAGCAGCCTTAGCAGCAGTAGCAGCCTTAGCAGCAGTAGCAGCCTTAGCAGCAGCAGCAATAGCAGCAGCCATAGCAGCCATAGCAGCAGCCATAGCAGCACCTCCTTTGCCGCATCTCTGACTCGTGCGCTTCGCCGGCTGCAAGAATCCTCCAGCAGTAGCAGCAGCAGCAACAGCAGCAGCAACAGCAGCAACAAAAACAGCAGGCGTCTCTTAGCCAGGCGTCCTGATGCAGCTGTGGCTGCCGCTTTGACGGCGCTGCAGCACTTCGAACGTGTTTTTAATCGATCAAAGTACAACCCTTTGGCAGCGGACTGGCTAAGTGTGTGGAATATCGTATGCCCATTGCTTCCAGTAAGCTGCTCTTGACGGGTAGCTGTAGCCGCGAGAGGCTTCTACACAGTCGAAAGGCAGAGAAATCGAGGTTTCTGCGCGCGGGAAAGGCTGGAAGGGTCTGTGTAGATGATGGTCGCATGCAGCAGCACTTGCCTTCGCTGTGAAGGCTTCCTCAGCGCTCAAGGATTGCGGTGTTTTGTGCCGAAGGAACGGATACGTGACTTGAAAGGATTCGAATTTTACGTCGCTTGTCTCCTTCGCCATCGTCCTCCGACGCGTCTCGCTGAACTTTCTGCAGCGGCAAGCGCTGCAAACTCTGCGGCAGCTTCTCCAGAAGGCGCTGCCTTAAGAGCGGCAGTATCGCTGCCAGCTCGCCAAACGGCCTCTGCAACAGCTTTCCAGAGACCATCCGGTGTATGGACAGCCCTTCCCCTCGACACCAAACTTGCCGTCATTGGCTGGTAAGCCTCCCTTCATGGGGTAGAAGCAGTAGCATCCATATGTATGTATATAGGGCAGAAGCAGCAGCAGCAGTATATATATGTATATGGCAGAAGCAGCAGCATACATATATATATGAATACATGAAGGAGAGGCAGCATATATATATATATATGGCAGAAGCAGCAGCATACATATATATATGAATACATGAAGGAGAGGCAGCATATATATATATATGGCAGAAGCAGCATACATATATAAAGGAGAAGCAATATATATATATCTATATATATATATGTATATTGCAGAAGCAGCAGCACATATGGCAGCTTCCTACCGCCAGGCCGTATGCCGCTGTGTGTGCAGCTCATACATTTGCAGCAGCTGGCTGGTGCTTGCTGCTGCTGTCTCCATGCATGCATGCATGGTGGAGATGCGCTGCTTGCCTCGACACTTTGCATAACGGAGGGGGTCGATGTTTTATGGGATGTCTGTGCTGTGGCGGCTGCTGCAGGCTTTTGCGACTACAGCTGCCAGTGTATGCTGCAGCTCTGCTCTTCGACGTTGCATACCATGAGGCACTTCCGCCATCGTTTCTGCCAACAGTTCTAGCTGCTTTGAATGCAACTTCCCACCAGCTTTGCATCGCGCCAGAGGCAGCAGCAAGAGCAGCAGCAGCTGCTGCTGCTGGAGCAGAAGCAGGAGCAGAAGCAGGAGCAGAAGCAGCAACAGGAGGAACAATAGCACGAGCAGCAGCAGCAGCGGCAGAAGCAGAAGCAGCAGCGGCAGCGGCAAGAGCAGAAGCAGCACCAACAGCGGCAGGAGCAGAAGCAACGGCAGCAACGCGTGTAGGTCAGCAGCAGCGATCCTCCGCCTTCCAAGAAAAATCGCAACGGCAGCAGAAAGCGACACAGCAGGTGCATGCAAAGGAATTTTCAGCAGGAGATGCTGCGGGGAGCAGAGCAGAAGGCTTAGTCTGGTGGCTTGCAGCTGCCTCACGCGCTTGGCAGCTGCAGACTTCTACACCTCCCCATCCAGCGGCTCCTGCAGACTTTCTTTTTCGAGTAAGACACCTCAAGCGATTATAAAATCTTAACACCTTTTTCGAAAATCCTGAGGCACCCTTTCCGATGCTTTTCAGGCAGTTGTTCGGGCTGTGTATGTCTGTAGCTGTTCATGTATGCAGGTGTGTGTAGGTGTGTTTATGTGTGTGTATGTCTATGTACGTGTATATAAGTGTCTATGTGTGAATAAATGTCTATGTGTATAAGTGTCTATGTGTGTATAAATGTCTATGTGTACATAGATGTCTATGTGTATATAAATGTCTATGTGTACATAGATGTCTATGTGTATACAAATGTCTATGTGTGTATAAGTGTCTATGTGTGTATAAATATCTATGTGTGTATAAATGTCTATGTGTATATAAATGTCTGTGTGTATATAAATGTCTATGTGTGTATAAATGTCTATGTGTGTATAAATGTCTATGTGTATATAGATGTCTATGTGTAAACAAATATATTTGTATATAAACGTGTATGTGTACATAGATGTCTATGTGTATATAAATGTCTATGTGCATATAGATGTCTATGTGCATATAGATGTCTATGTGTACATAGATATCTCTGTGTATATAAGTGTCTATGTGTATACAAGTGTCTATGTGTGTATAAATGTCTATGTGTACATAGATGTCTATGTGTATACAAATGTCTCTGTGTATATAAGTGTCTATGTGTATACAAGTGTCTATGTGTGTATAAATGTCTATGTGTACATAGATGTCTATGTGTATATAGATTTCTATGTGTGTATAAATGTCTATGTGTACATAAATGTCTATGTGTATACAAATGTCTATGTGTGTATAAGTGTCTATGTGTGTATAAATATCTATGTGTGTATAAATGTCTATGTGTATATAAACGTCTGTGTGTATATAAATGTCTATGTGTGTATAAATGTCTATGTGTGTATAAATGTCTATGTGTATATAGATGTCTATGTGTAAACAAATATATTTGTATATAAACGTGTATGTGTACATAGATGTCTCTGTGTATATAAATGTCTATGTGTATACAAATGTCTGTGTGTATGTAGATTTCTATGTGTATATAAATGTCTATGTGTATACAAATGTCTATGTGTATATAGATGTCTATGTGTAAACAAATATATTTGTATATAAACGTGTATGTGTACATAGATGTCTCTGTGTATATAAATGTCTATGTGTATATAAACGTGCATGTGTATATCGATTTCTATGTGTGTATATAGATGTCTATGTGCATATAAATGTCTATGTGTATATAAACGTGCATGTGTATATAGATTTCTATGTGTGTATATACATTTCTATGTGTGTATATAGATTTCTATGTGTATACAAGTGTCTATGTGTGTACAAATGTCTGTGTGTATATAGATGTCTATGTCTATGTAGGTGTCTATGTACACAAGTATCTACATAGATGTGTGTGTATGTATGCAATAATTTTTAAATGTGTATGTGTGTGTCTGGCGCTGCAGGGTCCCCCCGTAAGCCACCTCTTGCCGTCCATGAAGGCTGGAATTGAGTCTGCTGTCGCTCTCTTGCATGCGGGAGAACTCGCCACGCTGATGCTGTGTTGCCGCTCGCGGCAGCTCTATCTGTTGCAGTTGCAGCAGTCTCTTCAGCAGCCTGAAGCGGCAGCTGCAGCAGCGAGAGCAGCGTCTAACGATCCGCTGTTGGACTTGCTGCTGCAGCACAACCCCAACACTGCAGCTCTTTGGATTGTCTTGCGGAGGCAGCTGCTACCCTATGCGCCTTGCGCTGCAGCGAGCAGCAACAGCAGCAGCAACAGCAGCAGCGTTCACGGCAGCGTTTACAGCCACAGCAGCAGCATGTACAGCAGCAACATCCGCAGCAACAGTAGCCGCTCTTACAGCAGCAGGATCACCCCGTGCTGCTACTTGTCGCCAAGAGAAGATGAGCGGCAGCTGCTGCTGCTGCTGGAGAGTGGAGGACTAGACTCCGGCTGGGCTGCAGATGCAGGTGTCTCAGCGTCTTTTTTTGCAGTGAAAAATCCGACAAAGACTGCCGTAGAGGAGCCAAAGCCACCCGCCAGAGGAGCCGAGCTGCTGCTTCTGCTGCAGCAGCTAGCCACGCTACCTGTGGTGCCTGCTGCTGCTGCTGCTGCTGCTGCTGCTGCAAAAACAGCAGGAAGAGGAGACGCGACCTTTCCCCCTCCTTCAGCAGCAGCAGCAGCAGCAGCAGCAGCAGCAGCGAACGTGTGGCAGCTTCCCATGCCACTAGGAGACACTCTTGTCTTTTTAGAAAGTCTCTATGCTCGAGCAGCGCAGAGACTTGCGTCAGCTAAACCACGAGACATCCTTCAGGCTGCAGCTCAAGGCGTTGATGTTCACTTGGCCGCAGTACGCCTGCCGTATCGTTGCTGTTGTTTCTGCTGCTGCTGCTGCTGTTGCTGCTGCTGCTGTTGCTGTTTCTGCTGCTCTTGCCGCTGCTACTACTGTTGCTGCTGCTGCATCTTTTGCCGCTGCTGCTGTTGTTTCTGCTGCAGTTGCTGTTGCTGTTGTTGCTGCACCCTTTACCGCTGCTGTTCTTGGTGCTGCTGCTGCACTTGCTATTGCTCTTGCTCTTTCTATTGCTCTTGCTATTGCTCTTGCTCTTTCTATTTCGTTTGCTTTTGCTCTTGCTCTTTCTATTGCTCTTGCTATTGCTCTTGCTCTTTCTATTGCTCTTGCTATTGCTCTTGCTCTTTCTATTGCTCTTGCTATTGCTCTTGCTCTTTCTATTGCTCTTGCTATTGCTCTTGCTCTTTCTATTGCTCTTGCTATTGCTCT